ATCTGGCTTGCCTGTGGTGTGCTCTCTCTGCTGGGTAAGCTACCGTCACTTGAACACCCCGATGAGGAACCTAACAACCCCCCAAAGCGTGCACCACGTGCAACTGACCCACTTAACGACGCCAAGTGGCCAAGTCCCAAAATCCGACCCTGCACTCATCACAACTTGTTGCACGGCTGGCAGGGGGCCAAACTTTCGCGGAATCTCACACCTCCCAATGTTGTGCACTATGCACTGGGAGAAATAGCCGTTCCCCAAGATATTGAAATCGATGTATTAAAATATGATCATTCGTTGTCATCAAATTCAGGATGTATTAAGTAATATTTGTATTCCCTGAACTCCTTAACTATGGTTATCTTTTAGTTACTGCTTAAATTGATTTATAATGATTTTGCACATGATCTCAAGATCCTTTCATAAAACAAAGAAATAAGATCAAAGTATATTTTTAATTATGGTAACCAACTAGTTACTAATTAAAGTATTCTACCATGATGATCTTATGATCCTTTTAAAATTTTAAGAATGAGAACAGAAATTTACAGATCTATTATAATAACCCATCCAAATCTAAGAAAGAGTTTGATTCTCATGAACCATATTTTATATAGGTATATACCCTATAATTTTCCCTTGTTCCTCATTATTTTTAACTTCTGGAACCATACTGCTTATAAAGATCTACAACCCCATGATCCTTTGATGAATTTACAAAACCAGAACAGAAAATCACAGATAATTTCATAAAATATAATCTCTAGTCATATAATTTGGATCCTCATAGACCATTATTGATACACCTACCTATAATACCTACCTCCTTAATTTCAGGCGCTCTGGCATACGCTGAACTTGGCACGATGAACACATCGTCGGGGGCGGAATGGGCCTACTTTATGGATGCCTATGGACCGGCGCCGGCGTTTCTGTTCTCATGGGTATCGACTTTGGTGTTGAAGCCATCTCAAATGGCTATAATATGCTTATCATTTGCACAGTACGCCGTTGAGGCCTTTGTGACGGAATGCGATCCGCCCAGGGGCGTGGTCAAGATGGTCGCCCTGGTGGCAATTGGTAAGATTAATATTTTGGGGATCACTACCATATTCGTTTAGGTATTGATCCCTGTACTATATTATTTTTCAAACCATACTAAAGAATGGACTTTTCCCCCCATAGTGATGATCCTATTCGTGAACTGCTATAGTGTCAACCTGGGCATGGCCGTGCAGAACGTGTTCACCGCCGCCAAACTGGTGGCCGTGGTGGTCGTGATCTGCGGCGGAGCCTGGAAACTGATGCAGGGCAACACGCAGCACCTGTCGAATGCATTTAATGGCCCAATGCCGAATGTGGGCGCCATCGCCACAGCCTTCTACACGGGCCTGTGGGCCTACGATGGCTGGAACAACCTGAACTACGTAACCGAGGAGATCAAGAATCCCAGCAAGAATCTGCCGCGCTCGATCATCATCGGCATTCCGCTGGTGACGCTCTGCTATGCGCTGATCAACATCTCCTACCTGGCGGCCATGTCGCCGCAGGAGATGATCGAGTCGGAGGCGGTGGCCGTCACCTTCGGCAACCGCATTCTGGGGGCCCTGGCTTGGCTGATGCCCCTCAGCGTCACCATCAGCACTTTCGGCAGCGCCAACGGCACACTCTTCGCAGCCGGCCGGTAAGGATTACTGCTAGAAAATGTTGGATATAGTAACACAGCACCATCCTGCAATCTGCAACAACATCACTTGTTATTCTCATTCAAGAACATTGACTTAGGGATGTTTGATACATGAAGCTTTGACTGTCCTTAACTTTTACAAACTTACTTTATGGAGTTATATAAAGTACAAAGTCTAAAAATTTTTGTTATACTCTTAACATTGAGTTATCGAATTTCAAACGATGACATTTTAACTGTTCTCAAATTTTATAGATGTAATTATGGAATTCAAGCTTCTAAGTTGTCCATAGTATTATTATTATACTTATATTTTATACATGATATTTTAACCATCCTTAAATTGTATAAATTATCTTTCAATTTGGCTTAGCCCAAATATTTTATACCTTTATATTGTCATTCAAGAACATTGAGTTCTTGAAACTTAAAACATGAAATAGTAACTTCCCTTGAAGTTTATAAGTTAACTTGAAATCTTTTAAGAGTATATTCGATTGTAAAAACATTGACAATGACAACTGCAATTGTTAGAAAACGTATGTTAATGTTTTAGCAAAACAGAAGTGGATATGTCTTGCAGTTTTGTATAAGCTTAAAGATTTCAGTTTCTGTTGTAAGCATTTTTAAAACAACATCTGATCTTTGTTGATTTTTCCTATATCATTACAGTCTGTGCTTTGCGGCCAGTCGAGAGGGTCACCTGCTGGACATCCTCTCCTATGTACATGTGCGTCGTCTTACACCTGCTCCGGGGCTGATATTCCACGTAAGCATCCAATACTACCCCAAGGGGAAAACTCCTCCGTAGACTATGCTTCATCAACCACATAGTAACAGTCCCAAATGTGCCCCTCCCTAGCAATAACTTGTATATCTAACTATTATCCCTATAATAATCCCTTTTTTTTGTTCCTCCTCCTAAAAACCCCACTTATCACCAATAGTTGCCCGTGTATCGATCCGATCCTCGTTCTAAACTCCCCTCTTTCTCTGTATCTTTCTCTGTGCGTATTTATCCCCGCCTCCAGTCGCTGATTGCCTCGGCAATGGTGCTGCATGGCACGATTGATTCGCTGATTGATTTCTTCAGCTTCACCGCCTGGATATTCTACGGCGGAGCGATGCTGGCCCTGATCGTGATGCGCTACACCAAACCCAACCATCCCCGGCCCTACAAAGTGCCGATCATCATTCCCGTTGTGGTCTTGGTCATCTCCGTGTATCTCGTGGCGGCACCAATTTTCGAGACCCCACGCGTTGAGTATCTGTACGCCCTGCTCTTCATCTTCGCGGGCATGCTCTTCTACGTGCCGTTCGTCAAGCTCGGAATGACGCCGAGGTTTATGAGTAAGTCCAGGGAAATTAAGTTATACGATAGCATACCATACCATACCATATGATATGATATGATCATATGATAGCATATGATATGATATGATCATAATGCCATTCGATGTGGTCAGCCTTTCCTATAACGATCGCCTAGAATCTTCTAGTTCTAATCCCGAATTCTTCTCTCCCCGCAGACAAGGTGACGCTGTTCTTCCAGCTGCTGTTGGAGGTGGTGCCCACCTCATCGATGGCCATGTTCGAGTGATAGGAACCCCCCGAAAGTGCTCAAGTTACGGGGTCACCATTCTCGGAAGGAGAGAAGCAAATACATTCACTTAATTACTATACAAAAAGAGGATAAACTAGGAGTGAAGCACATAGACAGGATACCAAGGGGTTGAGATGGAAAGTTAAGCGATAAATGGAATGTTGAGAGCAACCTATATTGATATACTGGACGTTGTCGTTGACAAAGTAGTGCTAGAGAAACAGAAACTATTTGAAATAGTCTTTTTATGCTATGAGCTGGTTATATTCAAAGATTATATATGAGTATACAGATATTTAGTGTGGATACATATGCATATGTGTATCTTATGTAGTGCGCATAGGCCAAGTTGCATAGTTGATACGTACGTACGTTTATACAAACGAAACAAATCTATATATACATATATTTTTGTGTTCTATTAATTAAAGATCAAGAGAAATGACAGAAACAACTAAAACAAAAAACACACACACAACAGTCGAAAATATCTTTGCCAAGCGGTTGGAAGAGTGCAGGGCCCATAAATAATACCTGGTATTTGGGAAAGGGCTAGGGTTTGAGTGCAGTACCGCCAGGAATCGATCCGTACCACCAATCCGTACAGTACCCACCTAAAAAGTGAACACTCGCCGCAGAGCTTTCGGATTAATCCTTCTTTGTTTTCATTTCAATTTTCCGTTGGCGCTATTTACCCACATTATATACGAGTTTAACGATCTAGAGATCGGCTGGAATAGCAATATTTATATATATATGTATATGTGTGTGATGGATCGTGGATAATGATAATGATAATAAGGAAAAAACGGAAGAAGGAATCCAACAAGGATGCAGAAAAAGGACAAAAGCTAAACAACAAACATCCCAACTGAATGTTTCTAACTTTGTGCGACTACTGCGCCACCTGGCGGTCGGGGATCGCGTGTGAAATTCGTAGGACTGCAAATAGGCATTAAAGATTTGTAATTGATACCAAAGTAAGGTAAAGAAAACAAACACTGAGAAAATTCAACAAAAAAATAGAAAAAGCCATTGAAAAAGAAAGGAAAAGAAAGCAAACATAAATACTACTATGGATACTTGTTAAATACATTTTTTTTGCGACCTCTGTCTGCTTGGACAAATCGTTGCAACCAAAGCTAGAACTAGATTTAGAGAGACGGTTATACTTCTATGATTACTGATTACTATTACTATGCCATTTTTTTAAAATTTTTCGGTTATTCGCTCTTTGTGAAGGACTCGTCGTACACGAGTTAGAAAAAGACAGCAGATGCAGGTGCCGTCTCGCTTGCACCCAAGTGCCGGCTGCAAACAAAATACAAGAATTTACATTTTTTTTTTGATAATATATTTGGTTTTTCTTTTTAAATCTCGCGCTTTGCTCTCAACTGTCTGAACCGATATACAAAACATTTATATCTTTACCTATTTATAGGGATACTACAGAACTTACACACACATAAATATATATTTATATAATTTGTTAAGTTTATAAATTTTATAATTTTATTACCAAATATTTACAATGAGCTAAACGGTAACCAGAACAAATCGAAAATCTCTATCTATACATGTACCTACCACCTAATGAAAAAAGAATTGTATTATGTAAACCAGAAATTGAAGAAATAAAGTTTTTGAAACACATCCCTTGGTTTCTTTATTAAATACAAGATTTTATTTTGTTTTAATATGTTTTATTCAGTATCATTACGTTTTACTACAAACTTAACTTAATATTGGTATAGTTTGATGTCTTTACAATAATATTGGGATAACAAAAATAAATAAGCACACTTTCGGTGGCTCTTTTACAACCTTATAGGCTTTTTATATGAGCCAGCTCGAAATCTTTGACATTAAATAGCTTATAATAGAAATGCTATAGGGCATCTTTACAAAGATGAAGCAGAATGCTACGCCTCCTTTTTCGCCTGTCGGTTTCTTTCAGCGGCGTTGAACTCTGGAAACAGGATACCAATCTCACGGAGGGCAGATGCTTCGCTATCGGATCCATGGCAGGCATTACGGGTATCGGATAACCCGTACAACGCTCGGATGCAGTTGGGATCGCTATAGACGGCTCGGAAAACCTTGGTGGGTCCTAGAAGACTGCGCCACTTCTGGATGCAGGCCTCCGACTGAAGGATCAGGGCATAACAAGGTCCGCTGGGGGAGAAATGTGTTTATAATTATTGTTATCTATTAATAATAATAATAAGTTTAATCAGTTAAGTGAGGTTTTAGCGGAAACTATAGTAATAGTAATGGGTTTAGGTTCAGTAAAGGGAGATTTTAGCAAGAACTATATAAAAATAAAACAGGATATTATGATGAATATTTACAAAAATGATAACCTATCAGTATTTGGTTCAAAGATACACATGTTTTTGTATCTTTTCCTGTTGAGATTTGAACCTAGAATCTAGTCTATTAGAAATATGAAAATAACGTGATAGATAAATACATATCTATCTATCTAGCCAGTAGATATTTCCTGGATTCACTATGTATATAATGGTCTCCTAACCTGTTCATAAAGCTCGTAAGACGGTGGTAGAAGAATTTTCCCTGGTGTTCCTCGTAGAATCGTTCTGAGAGTTCCTTCGTTATGCAAACCTCTTTCTGGTCGAGGACCGTAAAGTTCTGGGAGATCAGGGCCCGGATCTGCTGCATCGCGTAAGTGTTCCGCAGCACGTGCGGCTTTATCAGAGCCAGTGTGATTTCCATATCTTGTATACTGTATTTCCAACTATTTAGTTTTATTTTAAAATGTAAACAAAGTTTTTAGTCAGTTGCTATTGAGATAGGTCTATCGATAATACCGGAAAACCAGTCGTAGTGTGTGTCTGAACTAAATAAACGGTTTCCACTGCCATTATTTTTTAAATAAATTCACAAAGTTAGTTAAAAGTAAAGCAAAACTGAATTAATTAATTATTTAATTTAAATCAATCCACTAAAATTATAAAAATTAATATAATAAGATAATTACTTGGCAGTTGGGCAACTGTAGCTGATACACCAGGGCTGCAGAAAAAATACTAAAAACATTTTTAGCTAAAACAGTAAAAGTTTAATTTCTAGTAAACCACTTAATGGATTTTTATAAATAATACATTAAAATGTTCAGAAGGGCAAGACCCATCACAAATCATATCAATATTTTATAGGAAACGTACTTAAACACAACTTTTGCTTTTAAGTATTCCAGCGCCAAAAGGTTGCCACATTGCTTAAGCAAGGGCTGCCACCTTTTTCCAATCAGCTGTTCGCATTACACAAGCAGCCGCTTTTTAGTTTTTCCTTATTTTTACCAGAGTTATTTGAATTAAAACCTCAAAATGCCTTTCATGAAGGGCCGTGAGCCCATCCGCCGCACCCTGAAGTATCTGAATGCGGGCAAACTGGTGCTTAAGGACAAGGTGCGCATCTTCAGCGTGAACTACAACACATACGGCGATCATCACGCCGGAGCCCGGTGAGTTAGATGATATATGTGCGTGGTACAGGGAGTATGGAGTATAATCTTTGATTCCCACAGGGACTTTGTGTTCTGGAACATCCCGCAGATCCAGTTCAAGAATCCCGAGGTGCAGGTGCTCACCCTGAAGAACATGACGCCCTCGCCCTTCGTGCGCTGCTACTTCGACGACGGAAGGGACATGCTGATAGACGTCGACGGGCGGAAGCGGGACGAGATCATCGAGCACCTGGTCCAGGTGGTGGGCAAGACCCGGTGAGCCCTTGTCCCAAGATACAGCAATTGGTTCCCTCTTATAAGGGTTAAATACACCGTTTTTGATAGTTTCCCAATGTATAGTACAGAATAGTTTAGGCTAATCCCCCTAGAGCCTATCAAAAACATTGGAAACATAACTTATTTTCGTTATAACTAGCCTTTATTATTAATCTTTCGTTAGTCAAAGGGTTTACTAGTTTTTGGTAGATCCTGTTATATTGTAAGAGCTGCGTTTGTTGCATTACATAGACCTATTTTAACATGAACTTGATCTATTGATCTTCTGGTTAGACAAATTTTTCCAATAGGTTCTGCTACATAGATCCTTTTACTTTGTTAAAGGTTCAATTATTTTCATATTGAGTATTCGCCCAGTCTATGAAATACTTTAATATTATGAACATGCACCAACTCTTTGAAACCTTCTGATATTGAACAATTTAATGCATGCTCTTATTTTTCATAACATTTTTGAACTAATCTTAGCTGCGTTGTTTTCTTATTATTAAGTACAAAATAGTATAAATATTTATCCAGTCTAAATGAACTTCTACGGGGCAACAATTTCAAAGTTTGAGAACTGTGTATGATTATGATGAAAGTGTGAGAAGTGTTTAGGATGTGTAAAATGAACACCAGTTTCTAGAATCTGTATCATTATATGGCGTACGATGGAAAGTACAAAAAATTCTACAGTATAAAACAGAATAGTCAGGCAATTTAGGACAGAAATATGGCCAAGTTAAAATTATGATTGACAGGGGTATTGTTTACGGGCTATTTTAACAAAATGTATCAATTCGCACTGTTGATTCGGGCAGATATCTTCTACCCGATAATCTAGCCTTAAATATAGATAGTAAAAACCTTTTTCATTCGACATTTCCAGCGAGCAACTGGATGCAGAGGCGCGCCTGAAGGAGAGCAAGGACAACCCGGCCAACTTCGGCTACGGATGCGGCAGGCACTGCATCTGCGAGATACCCGGCCAGGTGCCCTGTCCCGGAACCGTTCCGCTGCCCGATCACATGCGCGGCAAGGTCAAGTTCGCACCCAAATAGACCTCCGTCGTTCTGATTGTTCCTTTTTTTAATAAATTAATTGTAAATTACACCCGCAAGGCTCGTCTGCTGAGGTAGCGCCCTAAGTACTAAAGATTTTTACACACTACGAGGGTGAGGCGGTGGCGAAGTCTTAGTCGAGGAGCCTAGCGCCGCTTGGGACGCTGCTGCCGGTGATATGGAGCCGAGGACTTGCCGTAGCGCTGCGATCCGTCCCGGTCCTTGTTGAACTGGTAGCGCTGGATGAATGGCACGTTGGCCTCCCCCCTGCCGGCTGTGTTTAGCTCGAGATTGTCGTCAGTCTGCCGCTCTAGCACTTTCAGTTTGGCCTCGATGGCGCGTATGGCCTCGGTTTTGCTGATCTTCTCCTCACGCTTGCCAGTGCCCAAGGCTGGTATCTCCAGGCGCGGCTTGGGCTTTTGCAGATCATCCTGTGAATTGAAGGGGGAGATTTTAATTTGTAATAAGTGAGGAATGCCCAGTTATATGTTGATAGTTAAAAGTCTGGGAAGTATGTGGAGGAATTCCCTTGATTTGCTTACATATTTGATGTTCTTGGCCAGGCGCACGGCTATCGAGCGGTTTCCTACGCTGGTTCCGTCCAGTTTCAGCAGTGCATTGGTGGCTCCTTCGTTCTAAAAAGGGATTTGGATTTGTTAGTAAGATTAAAAAAGAATTTAAGATTGTTTGGCCATATCCTTTAACTGTCTTAGTTATTTTATAATTTTAATCACCAATAACTAAACTCAGGCCAATAATCTTAAAAATAAAATGAGTGTTTAATATTGAAGGTACTTAAAAACTTAATCTGTTTACGTTCCAATCACCGAACAATTAAATTCTTTAAAGGGTCCTTAAGCTTAAGCACCCAAAAATGTTTCTTATAATTCTACCAACGTGGACATGTGTTAGGTATTTGTGGTAACCAAGTAGTATATATAAAACGTTCGTTTTATAGCTTTTTTATGTTGAGGAGTACAATAGGTAATAGAAAACTGACATGCAAAGGGGTCCTAAGCTTAAAAGGTACCCAAAATATTGTGTATGTAGGTATGTAACTAGTTAAAATATACAATTTTACATGATGATTCATAATATTAGCTATTTTTATCGTATGTTTTGGCTATGGCACATCTAAAAGAACAAAAATCTGATATGCAACAGAGCAAATGTTCCCTCTAACTCGTGCAAAGGGGTACTTAAGGTAAAAAGTACCCGAAAATGGTTTTGAAACCGTACAAATAAGGGTTATATCTAGAACCCTGTTCATTGTATAGCCCCTTTAAGCTGTGGACCATGATAGGAGTTACTAAAACTAAGTAAAGATGATACAACATCTACCTATATAACTCGGAACTATCTGAGAATAATGCAGCCGCTGCACCGTGCACCACCAGCGAAATGCAGCGTACCCACCTGCGCGAAGGTGACGAAGGCGTAGCCCCGGGATTGTCCCACCATGGGACCACCCTTGTGGAACAGCATGTCGAACTTCTCGATGGCGCCGCATTTTTGCATCAGTTTGAGGAGTTGAAACCGATAGGGGGCAATGCAAAAGGAACTATTAGCACCTCCGAATCGCACGGCATTGTGCAGCCACAACTTACTCGGTGATGCGGGAGTCCAGGTTGCCCACCCAGATGCGCCGCGTCTCCTCGGAGTTCCCGCTGCTCCCGCCGCCACCACCCGAGCCGCTCGCTCCCGTCTGCAAGGACATTTTGGACACTCTAAGGATCTGGAGCGCGGATTAAAGGGATTTTGCCATTTTGTTTGCAAAAAAAGTATTCACAGTGTGCCCGGGCAGCTATCGCTGGATTATACCTCAGAAATATACTAAGAAATAAACTTTTAATACCACTTTTATCTAGTCAAATATCGATAGGTCAATTGTTTAAATGATAGGCGCAAGATTCAGATTTTAGTCAAAAATACCATTTTTTCTTGCAATTTTTCGATTGTAATTTGGCCAAATTAAGGCGTACAGCTAAAAGTCCGGCTGTTTTGAGCAGCTTGCTTAATATGATAACAATCCTGAGCATTTTTAGGAAAATTAATTTTTTGACCAATTTTCTCATTTTTTGTAGGGGTTGCATCACTTTTTTTCGAAAAAATGGGAAAAAATGAAAAATTTTCAGGTTAGAATGCCAATTGATTGGAAATTAAGCAACGAACTCAGCGAGGTATGACATTCCTCATTCTGACAAATACTTTTGTTTTGGCAGACAAAAAACTGAATTTTTATGTCGAAAAAAAGGGTTCAAATTTTTGTAAAAATACGAAATTCAGATTTTTGTCAAAAATGCGACATTTTTTTTCGCTTTTTCCATCGTAGCTCAGCCAAATTAGGGCGTACAGCTAAAAGACCGACTGTTATGAACAGCTTGCTTAAAATGCTAACGATCCTCATCATTTTTAGGAAAATTTATTTTTTGACCAATTTTTTTATTTTTTATAGGGGTTGCATCACTTTTTTTCGAAAAATGGCAAAAAATAAAAAAAATTCAGGTTAGAATGCCAATCGATTGGAAATTAAGCAACGAACTCAGCGAGGTATCACATTCCTCATTCTGACAAATACTTTTGTTTTGGCAGCCAAAAAACTGAATTTTTATGTCGAAAGAAAGGGTTCAAATTTTTGTAAAAATACGAAATTCAGATTTTTGTCAAAAATGCGACATTTTTTTTCGGTTTTTACATCGTAGCTCAGCCAAATTAAGGCGTACAGCTAAAAGACCGACTGTTATGAACAGCTTGCTTAAAATGCTAACGATCCTCATCATTTTTAGGAAAATTAATTTTTTGACCATTTTTCTCATTTTTTGTAGGGGTTGCATCACATTTTTTCGAAAAATGGCAAAAAATGAAAAAATTTCAGGTTAGAATGCCAATCGATTGGAAATTAAGCAACGAGTTCAGCGAGGTATGACATTCCTCATTCTGACCTATACTTTTGTTTTGGCAGCCAAAAAACTGAATTTTTATGTCGAAAAAAAAGGGTTCAAATTTT